TTTTACGTTATCCGACCCCCCCACCCCCACCACACACACACACTTCCCCTTGTTTGAATACAAAAGAAGAAGCCCTCAGTTATTAGCTACACAAAAGCTGCGGGGCAGAGCAAACAGCAAAATCCTCAGGTATTAATAATAATAATATATTAATAATAATAATAATAATAATATATTTAATTTAACACCTGAGGATTTTGCTGTTTGCTCTGAGTTCCTGCCCCGCCACTTTTGTGTAGCTAATACCCGAGGGCTTTTTAGCTACACAAAAGCGGCGGGGCAGGAACTCAGAACAGAGCAAACAGCAAAATCCTCAGGTGTGAGCAGTAAACCGTGCGAAAGCAAAGGGGCACATAGCGCACTGAACTGGTTAGTGTGCCTGCGTTCTACTGCCTCCTCCTGGATGGAATCGTAACTGCTCCAATAGCAAATGGCAGTTCGGAGTCCCAGGGTTTCGAGTTCTATCCCCTGCTGTAGCCACGGAGCTCTGCGGTGCCCTGGTGTACAGCACAGGGACAACACTGCCTGCAGACTTGTCCCACCAGGGTCAAGAGTGGGACTGGAACTTCTGTGAGGGCACGTCTTCACTACCCGCCGGATCGGCGGGGAGCAATCGATCTATTGGGGATCGACTTATCGCGTCTAGTGATAAAATCGATCCCTGATCGTTCTGCCGTCGACTCCGGAAATCCACCGCGGCAAGAGGCGGAAGCGGAGTCGATGGCGGAGCAGCAGCGGTCGACTCGCCGCCGTCCTCACAGCCAGGTAAGTCGACCTAAAATACGCAACTTCAGCTACGCTATTCACGTGGCTGAAGTTGCGTATCTTAGGTCGACGCCCCCCCGTAGTGTACACCTAGCCTATGTCTCAAACACTTGTGGCTGGGCTTTGTCTAGCTAGCGGAGTGTGTCGAACTGGCTCGAGAGCGAGCGCCAGTCACAATTTGGCCATGTCTCTGCTGCCATAAAATGCCGAGTGGCCATGACATGAGAGTTAGTCACTGCTGGGCAGTTTGGATGGCCACTCACGCATTCCCACAATACCTGGCTTTCCTGTACTTCTGGAATGGCGTGGGCCCACCCCACCGGCGCGACCTTGCGCACGTGGGGCATAGGAAGTCGCGCTGCAGATGCCATTTTGAGGAGCGCACCGCTCCACCCCTGCTGGGGGGACCTCGCACGCATGGCGTGCATGAGGTCACGTTGCACAGATGACGCCATTTTGAAGGGCATGCCGGTCCAGCCTTGCCACGTGACCTCGCATGCACAGCGGGGCGGGGGGAGCAGTGCGCTCTCCAAAATGTCATTCCCTGTCCGATACTGGACAAAACCATCTCTGATTTTGTCTCAGTCCCGGACAGGGAACAAACCACCCAAGAAGAAGACTCTGCAGCTTAAAACCAGACAAACGGCCTGCCTACGTGCACTGCAGGATCGCCTGATGTGTGACCCAGTATTGTACAGATTCACATCTCAGCCCCCACTCTCTTTCTCACACCCATTCAATGGCCAAACCTGTGTGAAAACAGGAAGAGAACCCACGTCACCCTGTTCCACATACACAGACAGTGTTCACTGAGCTAAAGGGAAGTACTGGCTGTTAGCTAGCGGTACAGGGCTGATGACACACAGTTGAGCAGTCCTGATTTCATCTAGTACAGGATGCTGGTGTACACACACACACACACACACACACATCAAAGCACGTTGCAGAGAAAGCATTTACCTTGTTAGAGAGGCAGGCTAGGCCAGCTCTCCCCCTCCTTGGGGTTTCAGCAGATCGAGTCAAGTTTTTCTGTGTAAAATAAAAGGATTACAAGCTGGTCAGCTTTGGGCCTTTCCCCCCGGCTCCCCTGAAGTTACTATCCCGCGCTCTGTGCACAGCGCAAGCTATATGCGCTGGGGAGAAGAGACCCACGGAACTGAGCAGAGCACCCCATGAAGTTCTATGGCTGGCTTGATGGGGGGAGAGTGCCCCTTACAAAAATCTCCTGGCACTTTTCATGGGGGTGGGGAGTTTGCTGTTGCCTTGGCAGCTGAATTCCAGTGGCACTCTTGGTACGCACTTCCCATTCGCAGGGAACACTGTTATACTTCAGCAATGCCTAAAGGCCCAGGTAGGATGGACGCCCTATTCTGCTGGGCGTTGTACCCACCTCAGCGAAACCACAGTCCCTGCTCCAAAGGCCCGACACAGTCTAAGACAACCCGTGCCACATGGCCAGATAGCTACATTTGTATACCCGCCCGCCCACCCGCCGGGGACTGTCCGCTCCACTCACCAGGTTCTGGAGCTCATCGAAGATCACGGCTTGGTATTGCCGCAGGATTTCCACAATGCTGCACTTCGCCTTGCCCTTGCTCAGCACCGATACAAGCAGCAGCAGCAGAACAGCACAAAGGAGAGTCCTGGGGAGAATCTAGATGGGAAAGAACAACGCAGCTTCAGCATTGTACACTAGTACCAGGCACTGGAGACCTGCCTTTGCCTTTCAGGCTGAAAGGAAGCTGGTTTCGCTTGTGTGGTTTAAAAGCAGCATGGTCGGCTGTCCTGGGAGGGGTCAGCGTGGACTCCAGAAGCGCATATGGGGAGCTCCTACATAAGAAGTGGAAAGCATGAAGAGTACATTGGACTACAGTATAAATAAGGTATCCTTCGGGAATACATGTCCCTGGGTCAGCTAACCAGGTTGTGCAGCATTCCCGACAGATTTGGACTTTATCAGATCAGGGGAGAGGAGACTCCAAAGCTGAGAGGTCCTCCTGGAGAACACGTTGCCAGCACTTCCTTCTCCTTTTAGAGCAAAGGGGCTTCAGTCATGGGAGAGATGCAGTCTTAGGTCAGATGGTCCCAGGCCATTTCAGGGGCAAATCCAAAGACTTCATTTAGAATTAATGGCAACAGCGTCTCAATCCTCGGAGAGGTGTTTTTATGTGTCCAAACAAAACTGGGGGCAGCTGTCAGGATGGTGCATAGGGACAGAGGAGGCCTGAATAGGCAGAAGAATGGCTGCTGTGTGGGAAGCCTATTTTGTCACATTTTTAAAAAGGTGCTGAATATAAAATACAGGAGCAATAAAATCCAGTGAGACATGGTCTCTTGTGCAATTGTTCTGCGCGTGTTCCAGCTTTTCAAAAAGTTCCTTTAATCCAGGTGCTCAGGGATCTCACACAGGAACGAAACAGACGCTTTTGATGGCTAAATGGGGGGGAAATAGCCTACACAGCTCTCTGCTTGCATTGGTGCAGCACGGATCCCTCGTCAAACCTTCAGGCTTTCCACGCAGCACTGAAGCCAGCCGTGGCATAGCACTGAAGCCGAAGCTTTGATATCTGAGACTGTTGAGTGGATGAAGTAAATCTCAGTGCTTGTCCTGTCTTGGAAAAATCAATGATCCTCAGACGCGTCAAGGAATGGTCTAGGTTTACTTCCTTCTGCCCCAGCGAAGGGAGTGGAATTTCTATTGGGGTGTGGCAGAATCTTCTCAGATACGCCAATTGCACCGCTTTGTTTTCTCTGCACATTTCCCCAAGAGAAGGGAGATATCACTCCAGAGCAAACTTCAAACCAGGCAGCCCAGAAGATATAAATAACGCTCAAAGACATTCATCAAAATGCCAGCTTCACTGCAAACGGAATATCCCTTTCCACACAGACACCGGCCAAAGTCTAAGGGTTGCTACTCAGGAAGGCTTCCCCACAGAGGAAAGAAGGCCGTGCAATTTCACTTGAACTATTAAGTAAAGGACTCTTTCCATAAATATCAAATTCTGGAACAGAGCAACACTTGCACCATTTCCAAGCAGCTGGGACGGGTACTACATTTTCAGTCCTTAATATGTGAAGAAACACAGTCTGCCATTAAAAAGGCAGGCTGGCTACACTCTCAAAGGCTATGACCTGCGATTCTCACAACTCACGTGACCGGCCTGATGGAGGGGTGCCCATAAGAGATACACCCTTGTAGAAGGAAGACTCTAATGAACAAATCATGAGAACTGTTTTCTCTTAGTAATTGGCACTGTTCAGAGGTGGAAAAAGTTATTGTAGTTAATTCACATGCCTGGGGATTACTAATTCTCTCTCCATGACAGTTTGAAGGTTTGGGCCCCTGCCCCCCTTACACACACACACACAACATCCTTTCAAAATTGGCATCACTTAATATTTGTTAGTGGCATCCAGGAAAAGTTCATTCTGGGTTTAGAAGTCACCTCCTTCCATGGAAGGACCAGGAGTGATTTGTAAGGTTAAGAACAGGTCTGTGAACTGGGTAGAAAAACTCAGGTATTAAATTGTGCTTTGCATATGCCTGAGGGGCTAATCTTTTCTTTCCTGGCTTTAATCCTCTAGCAAACAGTGACAGATAAGGGAAATCACCAGTATTGATAGAGCACTTCCTGGTGGCACATGCTCTAAACTCAGAGGCATAGATGTGCTCCAGCAGAAATCACTTTGGTCCCCACACGGTGTCCTGGCTTGCACTGTCCTGATGACCCCTGTCGCTTTGGGTAGCTTGGAGGGCAGAAGGGGTCTGGTTGGCCCTGCCTTAAACCTGGCAGACAAGCCCGGAGGAAATCGATTTCAACACACTGCTAATTAAGGACAGAGCTTTCCTCCCCTCCGCCAATGCGCTGATTTTTATACACTTCAGGGCTAGGAGTTTATCCCCCCTGCAAAAGGGTCTCTCTCCCTGGCTCGGCTGCCCCCGACCACACCAGGAGGCTGGGACGAGCCCCCCGCAAGCATCTACACACGCCCACGCTGGCTCCGTGCAATGACCGGGCTCCAGCCACGAGCCAGCCCCAGGACGGGGGAAGATCCTGCCCTTTCCAGAAACAAGCAGCCGCTGCTGCAAAGCGGGACCATTTACAGGAAAGTCTGGCCCGTGGCGAGCGGGGTTTAGACAGGAACAGTCCCTGGGGGGGGCGGTGCGGAGTGGGAATTTCCAGTCTCTTCTCCTGGATCTAGCTAGAATCGGTGCTTCTCCTATGCGGGGGGG